TATACAATTGGTTCTCTTTTTACTTACAAACCGCACGACACAAATATATGGAAACACAATGCAAGCAATTGTTAATTATTTCATTTCGGCTCTTCTAAGGGTTGCAACAAACAACGTAAGAAGGTCTTAATTAGAAACATCAAGAAACTCCGCATTGTTACTTTTCTTTGTTTTAAGTAGTTTCTCGATTCTGGTCTTTCCTTGTCTACCAAAAACAGACTATTGTGACAATTTTAACAATGTAACAAAATTAGTTGTTCGTATGCAAAATTATTATCTGACGTAGTTTTCAGCGGTAGTTACGGATTATAACCTAACAACTATGACCCATCCTAACCTAACCTAACGTAACCTATAGTGGTACCCACGATTACTAGAAAAAAACCGGGATGGATCATAAACATAAAAAATGACGTTTGTGGCCCGAAAATAAAAATTATTTAACACGAGGTGTTAGCCCGTCCTACGTACGGGAGTAGTCAGTTAAAACTGTGTATAAATCAGAATAGCTAGCTTACACGTATAAAGACAAATTTTATAGCTGCCTACAGTAGAAAGCGTAATTATCAATTGAGAAAGTGTATAGGCCTAGTCAACGATATCAACTTCCAATTCCATCGCATACCTGCCTCTTCCATAATCAATATCAACACAATACAATTACTCATACTATACCCAATTTCCAGTAGGTCTGAATAGAAACTCCCTAAAATAAAACGAAAACATCCAATAAAATTCACAGTACACATAATTATAACATTGGTGTCCTGACATCATTAAACGAATCGCAATTGCTAAATAAAGAAGTGTAAACAAAGAAAAGTAAAAACAACAACATATAGTTTGTTTTGGTAAACAGCTGAGCCAAAAATAAAATAATATTCATTTGATCAAAAGAACTGGTCACATGTTGAAGGAATTTAAAACGTAAAACACGCTAGTAAAGCTAGTGACGTAATTAATTGTATATGTTTATTATCCATTCCGTTATCAGTTCTAATATCCTTAATAATTAAACCATCCTCATTGAATCAATGTACACCGTAATTCCCCATATTCATTTATTTAAACTATAAAATATTAAGCGCCTCCAAACGTAACCACAACTAAACACACGCCAAACAACTTTTTAGATTTCATAAAAGGATGGTTATTCTAATTGCAGTATCCTAGGTCAATGATGACGTTGTGCTCAATCTATGTCATTCATATCTGTATATCTTTGGATAAAACCCGTCTGGGTTGTGGTGGTAATTTAAAATCGTATTTCTGAGGATTCTTGATCTCCTTCTTTATGACATCAATATTTCCGGGCCTAATCCAAACAAAGTTTAATCATTCAAAAACATTGATTGTAAACAAACCAAGATGAATTAAAACGTGTAAAAAATGGATTTTCCTACCCTTTCCTAAAAAAGTTGAACAGTATAATAATTTGCATATCCTTTTTTTAAGAATCGTGTACAGAGCCTCGACTTGTATACATCGATTGTGTTACTTTTCTCGGTGGTCTACTAATCTTACTTATTTCTTAAAAATCAATGACAAATCAGAGTAAATAAAATAACCTAATAGTTCTACAGAGCATTTTTATATTTAACCAGCTGTTAGTCAAGAGAAAATTATGTTGCACTAAAACAAACCGAAGATTGCAAAGATTTATTTAAACATTCCTTTGAACATCCTAGTATTTTACCTATGTATATTTAAATAATTTGTCATCCTCTTATCGAAGGATTGAACGTATCAATGATTAGCATTACACATAGTATAAATAAGTCAGCCCTTAGTATGTCTTTTAATTTGATCCAAATGCTGAATTTGTGTCACAAACGCTGAATGTTTACAGCTGTTATGTTAAACAAATTTACTACACCAAAAGGTAGTTTAGAATCTTAGCGTCGGCTGCTAGACTTTTAAAATTAAAAAAAGTTAATTAAAGTTAAAATTAAAAGTTAATTTCTAAATAACTGGGACCCTAAACTAAAATTATGGCTTCGACATTCCCTAGTTCTCAAAATTATCTTTCTTTCAACACAAAAATCACGAAAATCCGTCGAGTGGTTGATTCAGAATCGTGAAATAAAAAAACCCTGTTTCGTTTTAATATTATAGATTGCTTAAATGGAACTGCCAAAACATTATGTTCAATGCTATTAGTATAGGATTCGGACCAACAACGTCATTTGTTTATGTTTATGATCCATACCGGTATTTTTCTAGTAATCGTGGTGGTACCTAACCACTATAGGTTACGTTAGGTTAGGTTAGGAAAATTTTGTTATTTAAACTAATTAAAATCTTATTTGGAAGTCGATTTATCGGTGTGGTCGGTAAAATACGAACGGCCTTTTCGATTATGTAACACATTTTAATACCTCAAGTCTATTCAATGTTTGAAGTATATTTAGTTTATATAAAGTATACATATAAATTACGGTGGAATACTTTTTGATAGGCGTCAAGATATATTAAAATAATAATGCATGCGTTTGGCACTCGAAACTAGGTGCTGGGTATCTGACAAACAAGGTTCTAAGTGTGTAATAAAACTTAATAAGAAAGCGTATATCATATAAAGCCGATTTATTTAATTAGTTGTAATAGGTACATTAGTAAGTAGTTTCTTATTTTAGGTCTTTCCTTGACTCCTAAGCCTAGACAATTCACTATGGGTTGACTGTTGTGTGCCTTCATGAAAGATGTTTATAAAACACGCCATACGATTGAGGTAATGTTTATACCAATTCTATGACAAAAGATCTAAACACAGATACATTATCATAGCCTACGAAGTCTTTAGTTCTGTTTCTATGTACAGATAAATAGTTCCGTAGCATTAGCTCCAAATGGCATCCCATGTGATAATAAATCATTGGTGAATGATGTGATTTGAACCCATGTACCCGAATCCTCTTATCACTGTTCTTACTATCTAACAATAGAAAACATTATATACTTTTCGTCAGGAATTTTTCATAAACAAGCAGTCTAGAGAAACTATTTTTCACTTCATAGGGATACCGTACTGCTTTTAGCATTTGCTGAGTAACAAATAAGGGTAGATTGATTCAGCTTCTTGTGGGATTTGAGACTAAAGGCGGTGACACACTATCGATCTTTTCCCCGATCAAGACCCCGAACCGAGCAGGGAGAAGGGAGAAGGGAGATAAATATCAGCAAAATTTTACTCCGAACATTTCCCCGAACATGACCAAGACCAGACGAATTCTACCGAGCGCGGCAAAAGGAAGTTTGGAGAGAGATAGAGAGTGTGTGCGAGTGAGAGCGCGGAGGCAGTGCCGTGGAAGAGGTTATATCTATTGATTTCTATTGGTTATATTCATTGAAATAACGTTACAGAATGATCATTTTAATTGCATTTAATAATATTAATGTTTATATTATTTTTGAAAGAATTTAAGTCAACATCAATTACTTAATTCAACCTTAATATTATTGATATAATTGATTTAACGGTTTCTACACTTTCAACCTTGACCAAACAAACCACAAACATTACATCTTAAATGATTATAATATATAACGGCAACATATTACCCAACATTTATTTATTTTACCAATTAAAGAGTTTAATTGCCATATTAAATCAGAACTATCAATGCTAGCGCAGGCGGCCGCTCGGTGCGGCGCTCGCGACGATGTACGGGGCAAAAATGTACCGTGACACACTATCGTACATCGGACCGTACATCGGACCGATCTTTTCTTTGATCTTTCGCCAAAAAACCGCCTCCAGAGCGCTCGTCTCCCTGCTCGGCCTGATGTCTTGTTCGGCGTCTTGATCGGTGTACGGACCCGTGACACACTATCGAACATCCTCCCTTCGACCTCCCTTCTCCCTTCTCCCTGCTCGGTTCGGGGTCTTGTTCGGGGAAAAGATCGATAGTGTGTCACCGTCTTAAGCCGTGAGAGACATATTGGGCAGCGACATTTGATATTTGGAAATAGTTTTTAACAGCCAATGTAAGTGATAAATACCCCCGCCACAGCAAACCTGCAGACTAAGTGAATTTCCATTTTCCTGGCTGGATTTCTACTAAAATATTTCCTAAAAATTGTCAGATTTATTTCCTATTTAAAAAAAACATTAATTTTAGTGAGTACTTAGGTTTGCTGCTTCAGGGAAGATTTGAGGTGTGTTTTTTTTATTGCAATGTTGATAACTTAGCAAGAAATGAACAAAATTTCCAAATTCGGTTGAAATATATCCATAAACAAGGAAACGACAACAGTTTATTTGTTCTCCATAAGAATAACATGGAAATTTGAAATATCAAAATTTTTAAAATTATCTCCGTAACCGTTGGGCATACAACAACGCTTCAATATAGGCCTACAAAATTATTTTTTTTTCTCTTTACAAAATGGTTTGGAGAGAAATAATGAAATGTTGTGTTTCTATGGTCAAAAATGGGAAAAAATCAATTTTTACCCCATAAAAACCCGTTCCCATAGTCCGATTATGCTGGTTCGCTAACTCGTTCGAATAAACGTAGGTTTACGCGTTTTTACGAAATTTCATCAAAAACGGATCATTTTTGCTCGAGTTATCGGGCTAACGGACACACATATGAACTTACACATATACATATGAACTTGAACGGTTCATATCCCCCGGAGGTTTTTGGTCTCTGGGGACATCAAAACGAAAAAGTAAATCGGTCCAGGGTCTTACCATAAGACCTACGGTAATAGCTTATTCCCTATATGGGAAATTCGCTGAAAATAGATTATAGGCCTACAAAAATAATATATTACACATTATGAACATTTATACATATACAGATACACATTTATGAATTATTATTTTTATAAATATTATTGAGTATCCTTAACGTAATAATAAGAAAGAACGGCGGGTTTTGGCTGCTTAAGAAAAAGAAGAAAAGCGTTTCTGTAAATGGTTTCCATGATGAAGATTATAACTATAACTTTAATGGAAAAGTTGATATCAAAAATGTATAGTTAGAACTTACCTATTTCAACTGAAAATACAAAACGAGGAAGACATCTTCGTGATCGGATACCTGTAAAAATTGAGTTTCGTTAATTTGATACATCGACATTTTGGATAAGGCCCCTCGCCCACTATACGATTTCGGTCGTACGACACTGTGTCGGAACGACAACATTTCAACAGTGAACCATTGGATCTTATGAGAGCTCGCCCACTGTACGATAATCTCACGACTACGATAAACTGTCGTGAAACAGTCGTCCACTGCCACTGTGATACACGACTGTCGTACGACTGTCTAACTCGCAGTGGCGTGTATGTTCAAATGGGCGCTCGCCCACTATACGATTTTTATCGTATGTCGTGCGTTCTCCCCAAGTTAGTTCGCGCTGAGCCTTCTCGCTGTTCACTTCGCATGACTTTCGCTAATTTAAGTTTTGTCATTTAAAATAGTGTTTTCGTCTTTTGAAATAGTTTTTTGCATAATTTTGATCGTGGGTATATTTTTTACAATTAATTCATACTTGTTTATTATAATATTTGATAGGCTATATCGCTTAGTTTTTGTCTTTTTTAGCCAACATTTTGCGTGATTTTGATCTTGTCTGCATTCCTGACAGTTCGTTCATATTTTTCTTTATACTATTTTAATGTACTGTATTACTTATAAGTAAATATTAAAAAAAATAATAAAACAATGCGACTTAATTTAATTATTTAACTATGTAATTAATTTAATTATTTAATTATTCCTTAATTTTTTTTTATAACAATTGTTATTAATTGTATTGTGTTAAATAGTTTGTCTAAAATTTTAATAATTTTTAAACAAATAGTATTAATATTTAAAAACAATACAAAACATGTTCGAACATACAAACCTTTTACCAAAACTATCCCAAAACCTATGAAAGTAATATAACAAACATCAGTAAAGTTAAAAACTTGTTAAATGGTACGGACTCGTATAATTTTAAAATATCTTTAAATAGGAACATTAACTTAACATTAACTTAACATTAACCTACATTAACTTAAGAAATAATCAACACATAAAAAAATAATTACTTTTTTATTGATGTAGCCCCACATTGACCACTTCCAACAAAACGTATCAAATATATAATATAATCTTACTAACCACAACGTAATAGCTAGACTTTCTTTAGAAGTGATGCAGTTCCTCAGTTTAGTATTTTGGTAAGCAATTGTACCTTTTATTTTCTGGTGTAATTCATCAAAGTACGCAGCAGACATTCTGAAGTAGTTGAAAAACTTGTTATCATCACGCCGAAGTTCATCAAAAAGAGTTTGAAATGATCCTGTGTGTTCCCTACTTTAATTCATAGGGTGAATCCAATACTTCCGCTTAATCCTACGATACTTAATTCTACGCCATAGCAGCCACATAGCAACGACAAGTAACGGATCCATTGTTTAAATAAAAAACCATTCTTAAGATATTGCGCAACACACACTCACTCCTCCATGGCTACCGAGCAACTGGTCATTAATCCGACAAAGTGTCGTATAGTGGGCGAGGACCACACATACGATAAGAATATCGTACGACACAGTGTCGTACGACTGAAATCGTATAGTGGGCGAGAGGCCTAAGGGTAATCAATGATAACCTTAGGAGTTACGATAGGTTACTCCCACCGCTTGCCCATGCTAGGTGTTCGTAATTAATCGGATTGTTGATAATTATTTTTTTTTACACATAACACAAATATCTGATTGGAACACATGGTGTATTGATGGAAATCCAAGATTTATTTTCCTTCCTATGTTTTCCATATTATTTTCATATTAAGTCATGGGAACACCATAAATGCTATAATAGTCCACAATAAGCTGTCATTTTGGGTTTGCAATAATAATAAGTTTGCGTTGAAAAATATGGCGCCATTTCAAAGCAGAAAAAGCTGATCGTTCAGTTTGACTAGGTTTGTTTTCAATATAAAATAGTTTAAAACTTTAACATTGCAAAGGAATTTCTACTTGACGGTAGTGCGTTAAGAGTTAAAACTTTTTTTCTATAATCAGTGGCAAGACAGTACCCATTTACTTTCCAACCACTGATTGATTTGTATATACTTCATACAACATGCAGTGGCACAAATTAAAAGTTTAAGATTCTCTATTTTGTAGCTTGTTTCATCCTACCTACTATTAAAAGTCATCAGTGTTGATAAGCTAACTTGCAACGCAGACAAAACTAATTAAAAGTACATAATGCCAACAAAACAAAACCTACATCGATGAACAAAACCAATCAGCTATGTAATTGATCTATATAAATTGGAGAAAATTGAGGAAAGCTCCGGGGTCAACATGGGGTCATGTTAAGGTTATGGGGAGCACGCACTCGAGAGTGAAAGGGAGGTTAAGGGGTGGGGGGGGGGGGATTGGGGGGGGGATTCGGAGAGAATGTAACACGCACACTGTCAATTGGCATATGTCCTTGTAAAGGTGATTACAATTAATTAGCTTTTTACATATTTGATTAGCTGTTGAAACTTGTTTGCTTCTAATCTCTTCAGTTGGATATAGTTACAATAATTTAACTTTTTTACGTTTTTTATTAGCTGTATCTAAAATTAGTTTGCTCATAGATTTATATGTTAATCCGTAAAAGCTACGTAGCAATCATGGTGTCAGTCAAAGAAAGTATTTGACATCTTAAGGGGAACAAATACAACATTGTCAGGTTAAGGGAATTTAAGGGAGGTTATCGTGTCCTCAAAGAGTGGTTAAGTGAACAATATTCTCAGGTTAGATTTAAGAATATATCCATGTGGCCCTAACTTTGCCTGGGTGAATAAAGATTTTTATTTTATTTTTTCATTTCAATTTAAATACTTTTTAAACCAATAATATGCTTATCTAAGCCCTTTCGTCCAAAAAGTTGTCCATTGTAGGCTATACAATAGTGCAAATTGAAACTATTCAATAAATTGAACAGAACCCTAAAAGCGAAGAAAATATATTATGACCTTATGATCCACCACCCTTGAAAATTTGTAAACCACTTAAGCTTAACGTTTAAAGCGTGACAGTTTGCTCGTCATAAGCGCAGTTAATCAATCTTCACACACCCATTAATGATTGCTATCTCAACTCAAGTCAACCAACCAAAACAAAGTCAGTACGACAGAAACTGCTCAATACTCTCATTTCACTAAAAGCACGTAAACACTAGCTCAACAATATATTGCCGATTACTTAGAACAATCGATTGATATATCGAACCATTACGGTTGTGAGGTCGACAGTTAAGACCATATATCTAGACCAAGGACAAATCGTATTGTCGTTCTAAACCGCCCGACTTAGTATTTATTACGAACTAATGCTTTTGGGAAAACAAAACAGCTCGAGATGTTGTTTGTGATCTGAATCAAATGGATTCAACTCCTGTCGTACAATAGTATAAACTTTTTCATTGAGATTTATGGATTTATAATTTAAAAAAGAAATTGTCTAAGCCTATTCAATAAATACTTTTGTTCATAGTTTCATTAAGATATTTCGTTAAATGTATAGTTGCATTTTGTAGCGTCAGGTACGACCATGTAGATTTAAATCCAATAGTTTACTCTAGTTCCAAACCGTATTTGACCGTGCAAGTAGTCTATCATTTTATCGCGGAAAATCTGCAAACGAAACTAATTTCAATTTGATATCCTGGACTTAAGTACAAACAAGTCCGAGAGGAAATTTATCCTTGCTTTCAAGCATGGGGAACTGTTAAACGAAACTAAATTCCTTGTGGTTATTTTAACTTGTTTTATTTTAAAAGTATTGTACAGCAATTAATATTTCCTTAAGAGTTTAACATGTTGCGTAACGTACTACACTTTCAAAATCTTAAAAAAATTAGGGTATAATCTAAATTTAATATCGTAGAGAATACCAACATAAGCTTTAGTTGGACGTGTTGTCTTATGAACATCACAAAATATCATAAGAACATAAAAAAATACCCCCGCCACAGCAATCCTGCACACTATGCGAATTTCCATTCACCTGATTGGATTATCAATTAAATCTATTTAATTAATTTAGCCTTCATTATGTTTAACAGTTATCTAGGATTGTTGCAACAGGGTGTGCAATAGTAGAATATCAATAGCTTAGTATAAAATAAATAAATTTGCCAAGTTTGATCAAGATATACCCATAAACAAGCAAACTACAACATTTACAAAATTCTGCATAAGAATAGCATGGGAATTTTAAATTTACAGTTTTTTTAATTTTCTCCGTTACCGTTAACTGTACAAAAGCACTTTTATATACTAAATTATTTGTTTTTTAAGCTCTTTAAAAGGGTCTAGAGAAAAATTGGGAAATTTTGTGTTTTGAGGGTCAAAAATTAGAAATCCCAATTTTTACTCCATAAATCCCCTTAATTTCACATGGTCCGATCATGCTGGTTCGCGAACTCATTCAAGTTTCACCCGCCCTACACTTTCAAGCCAAATTTTATCAAAATCGGACAAAAATGACTCTTCAAGTTATCGCGTTGACGTATATACAGGGTTAGTAAAAAGTGTGGAGACCCCCTGTTATTTTTTTAACGGCCCATACTAGAAAAACTAAACTCGGCACACCTTTATGAAATGTTATGAAGTACTTTTTGGGCATAACCGTCACTTGATGTACATCCCCAAAATGGGGGATTTTGGGGAAAACTCAAAAATTTCAAATACGAAGACCCATCGAGTGACCCCTCATTTTGAAAGTCCTGGTAAAAGAAAACCAACAACGCAAACTAGAGGTCTTTATCTCAATCCAGTAAAAAATGGTAGCCAATTGAAATTCTCAGAAGTTCAATTTAACTTACAGCTTTCCAAGTCTGGAGACCTTCTGTAAATTTTGTAGCGGCTCACACTAGGAAAACTAAACTCTACACACCTTTTTGGCATGTTATGAAGTACTTTTTAAGCCTAATAGGCACTTGCTTACCAAACCCAAAATGGGGGATTTTGGGGAAAACTCAAAAATTTCAAATACGAAGACCCATCGAGTGACCCCTCATTTTGAAGGTCCTGGTAATCGAAA